GAACTGACAGGGTGTTGTTCCAGTTTGGTCACGCCTCAAGGTTCTTTGCATCAGGGCTGGGGGTTCAACATGGAGTTGTCAATACCGTTTTTTGTGATGGAGTAGTCGTTTCTTGGAGCGGGCAGGGCAAATCCCGGGAGAGGAAGAAAAGCGCTCCGGTCTTTTCGAGCTTGAGGGGCTGGGCCACGACTCCTCTTAAACAGACTGTGAAAGAGTATTCGCCGGGTCATGGACAGTTCGCTAGGATTTTTCATCTATAGAGCGTTGAGGGGAGGAGAGAGAGGTCAAGTTGAGGTTCGGTTTGGGTTGTTGTTTTTTCTTTTGTTTTTGGTTTTTGTTCTGGTTTTTGGTGTTGGGTGGTGGGCTCTCTTTTGTTTTTTGGTTCCTCCTGACAGACCCGTCCAATGCTTGATGATATCTGCCGGCATTTCTGTTAGTCGCAGGATTTCAGTCTATAGTTTATGAGATTTGGGGATGTAGATGTAGTGTGTCATATTGTTTTGAAGCGTGTTGTTTATGTTCTTGTTGAGTTTGGGACCAGTGGGACTCAATCTGCCTGAGTGATGAGTTGAGTGAATTGAGGATTTTGCGGATATCGTCAACCTTTTCAAAGTGGTTGCCAAAGTGACGCCAGAGAGGGAGGGGTTTGATGGGGGAGGATTAAGGAGGGAGGAGAAGGTGGAAAACAGTTTCCGGATGGATATTAAGGAAGGTTTGGGATGGAGAAGGTGGGGAAAACAGTTTCCGGAGGATTAGGAGGGAGGAGAGGAGAAGGGATAAACAGGTGCCTAGGGTTAGTATGGCTCAGAAGCTTGAAATGAAATTTAGAGTGCCTCATTTTAAGAGTCCTTCTCCCTTTCTTTATCGCTCTCTGTCACCTCTTCCTGCTTGTTTCTCTGGCTTTTTTTTTTGTTTTGTTTGTGTCTAGTGGTCGTTTTTAAGAGATGTTTATTTAAGATGATTTATCAGGGTGTTTTTTGGGGTGAGGGGAATGGCTCATTTCAAAGACTGGGCTAGAAGGATCGGAGCTGACTGTCAAACAAAAGGAGACAGTTAAAAATCAGGTTTAACTAGTTGTGAAAATGATTATGACCTCAGCCAAATCTGCACAGGTCTGTGTCGGTGTTTGTCCATGTTACCTGAAGTGGACCCCGATTGCGAGCCAGAGGAGCTTCCACCATATTTTCTTTCAACAGTACCTGCTGCAAGATAGAGTGTGTTTGCTTTAGGTAGAAGAAAGTCCATGTTAGTTCCAAGAGAAGAGAATAGATGGACGGGAATTCCAAGCCGTTCCCCATTCTTAGGATAATGCGTTTATAGCTTTCATGTACATAGTCATACTCTGCTTCCAAATCAGAACAAAAAATGTTCCTGTCTGAGGACACTTCCCCAGATGATGTTGTTAAAATGGTGTGTTTCGTTTTCTTGGTCAGGGTACGATGGTTTTGGTTTTTTTTTTTTTTTTTCTGTTTGTCATGAAACCGTTTTAATCCACCAAAATGCCTCTCTAAATATAGTCTCTCTCGCAATTTCACAATTCAATTCTAATTAATGGGCTCTTTATTGCATGGGAAAAGTATGTTAACATTACCAAGAGTGCAAGTAGCTTAATGACAAATAGGGAATATACAATAAAATATTTTACAGTAAAAACCCCCATTTTTACCAATCCGAAGTTCCAAACAAAATTCTAGAATAAATACATTTTCAAATATGTTCGATATTTCGTGTATATATATATATCTATATATTAATGTTATTTATATAATTTACCAGTGTTGTAACAATGTACAAATAGTAAGTACAAAAGGGAAAATAAATAAACATAAAATGGGGTTGTATTTCCAATGGTGTTTGTTCTTCAACTGGTTCGCCCTTTTTTTGTGGCAACAGGTCCAACAATCTTGCATGCTGTGATGGCACACTGTGGTTATTTCCACCCAGTAGATAAGGGAGTTTATCAAAATTGGGTTTGTTTTCTAATTCTTTGTGGGTCTGTGTAATCTGAGGGAAATATGTGTCTCTAATATGATCATACATTTGGCAGGAGGTTAGGAAGTGCAGCTCAGTTTCCAACTCATTTTGTGGGCAGTGTGCACATAGCCTGTCTTCTCTTGAGAGCCAGGTCTTCCTACAGCGGCCTTTCTCTTTCTCTCTCTCTCTCTCTCTCTCTCTCTCTCTCTCTCTCTTCTCACTCTCTCTCTCCTTATCTCTCTCTCTCTCTGTCTCTCACTCTTCAGAGAGAGAAAAAACACCACTCAACCGTCATGTTAATTTATCCCTGTGTAGAAAAGCTGAAGGCCTCTTCTTCTCCTCTTCCCTCTCAGCTCTTTATCTGGCACCTCCCCCCCTCTCTTCCCCCTCCCAGTCAAAAGGAGGGAGCTGGCCCCTTTGTGTCTGTTCTCAAAGCAGGGGCCTTCTAGAGGAGAGGAGATGTGCTGAGCTCCCCGGACCACTCTGGCCTCCTCACTGGCTTTATCTAGGCGCTCACCAATCAAACCATCCCTCCCTCCTTGTACACAACCCATTCACACTTCAAAGGTGCCCGGCGCCTGCAAACCATTCAGGAATGATGTCATCCTAAACCTCTCCCACACTCTATCAAACTGGGCTGAAGGCATTAGAGCATCCGTTGGTTGTAGAGTTTGATCTGGTCCACTGGGTGAAGGCATTAGAGCATCCGTTGGTTGGTTGTAGAGTTTGATCTGGTCCCCTGGATGAAGGCTACAGGGAGAGTAACCTCGTCCCCAGGCTATTGGGCACAGAGCATATCAGCCTGGGACATCACCCATTCTAAGTTGACCTTAGTGGGAGTGACCACAGAATGTTATGGGAGTGACCTACTGAGTAAAGTTTTTGTCATCATTACATTTTTGAAGAATCGGTTCCCTTGGCAGAACTCTTCCCATGAATCTCAGCGTGTTACCTAGCACAACAACAACACCACTTCGACCTCAAACTTCTTTCAGAATAAAGTCAACATAACTCAAGAATCATTTTTGAAGTTTTGCAGAGGAGTTCTTGATTGCGCAATTTGACATCTAGCTAAGGAGTTTAGTGGTTGTTGAAGGAGCGGTATTTCTGACGTTTGATAATGTACATGAACACTTGTCCATTACATCTCTAAGCCTGAGCCAGCCACTTCATATGAAACGAAAGAAACACAAACCAGCTAGTTCAAAACTAAATGCAATGTTCCTTCAATAAACTAGCTAAAAATATATATATACTTTGACAATGTAAGTAATTTCACTTGCCATTTCAATAAATCATTAGAGAGAGAAGAGAGAGAGGGAGAGGGGATGAGAGTGGAGAGATGAGAGAGAGGAAGAATAGAGAGAGAGAGACAAGAGAGAGATAGAGCGACCTCTCTCTCTCTCCCTCTCTCTCCTTCTCGCTCTCCCTCTCTCGCTCTAGATAGATATATACACATCATCTATCGACACACAAGCGATATCTATCATACGCTCTATATATCTCATCTCTCCCTCTCTCTATCTCTCTCATATCTCTCTCTCTCTCTCTCTCTTATACTCTTCTCTCTTTCTCCATCCTCTCTTCGTCTCTCTACTCTCTCTATCTCATGCATCCCTCTTCCCTCTCCCTATCCCTTCATTCATCTTAGTCTAGATCTCTCGATATATATCCTCTCCTCTCTTCCCCTCTCTCTCTTCTCTATCTATCGTCCTATCGCTAGACAAGCGACAGAAGAGATCTCACCTCTCTAGTCTCTCTCCCTAGCTCTATCTTTATCTCTCTCTCTCTCGCACGTTCGACTCTCGGCTCATATCTCGCTCCTCCCGTCTCTATCATCTCTCCTCCCCTCTATCGCTATCTCACGATCTCTCTCTCTTATTATCTCTCCCTCTACTCTCTCTCTCTCTCTCTCGCTACGCTACTGCCAGCTCCCTCTAGATATAGGAGCAGGATAGAGAGACAGACATACCATTATAGAGATGAGATAGAGAGAGAGGGAGACAGACAGCCAGGACAGGACAGATGACGAGAGAGAAGAGAGGAGGAGAGAAGGAGGGAGAGAGAGATAGAGAGAGAGATAGGGGCTTTGGGCCAGTAACCTCTTCAGCTGTAACCCTCACATTGTCCCACTCACACCTACTTCTCTCCTCTCATACATGGACACAACGACACTTTGTTTTTGTGTCGCTAAGGACTGTTGTGTTGCCATGGATCTATTTCTGGCTCTATTTTCCTTTGGCTGAGGATATCTAACTTTCACCAGTTACCAAACAGCTACAACACATCCCACATCAATGAATAGACTTATTTTTTTTATGACTTTTCGCCCATTTGATTCATTCAGTGTCTCAATGCGTTTGAACTGGACTGCAGTCTAATTCTCAGACTGATCCGTCTCTGTCTCTTTCTCTCTCTCTATCTATCTATCTATCTATATCTATTTCGCAATTCAATTCAAAGGGGTTTTATTGTCATGGGAAACATATTTCGACAATAAACAAAAAACATCAACAAAAACAGTAAACATTAAACACTCATAAAAGTTTAAAACAATAAAGATCAGATGTTATATTATGAGCTATGTTTTAATAGTAGGGGAAGACAAGTAAACAGATCAATATTGGTTGTATTTACAATGATATTTGTGCTCCACAAGTTGCCCTTTTCCTCTGTGCCGTCACCCATTAGTATCTCCCATTGTCCCGGTGTGGGTGACCTCTCGCCTGCACCCTGGCGTTAGGGTTAGGGTTAGTAGCTTTAGTGTCTCAGTGCTGTGGCCCTCGCAGCCCTCAGACCGCTGGTATGTGGCCGTAGTGTCACCTACACTCTCCCTGCAAGGTCACGCTGGGCCATTAGGGACATACACAGGGCAGCCAGGGGGAGGGGACAGTTGCGGGGTTGGCGGGATGGATGCACTGGGAAACAGCACCTAGGGGCCAAAAATAAAAGAGAGAGAAAGAGAGTCTCTGTCAGCAGGGCCAGTTATTCAGAGGGAAGAGAGGAATTCTAAAGGCCTGTAGGGAATGTCTAGGGGCCCGGTGGCTCCGCTCAGCTCAGCATCAGGCCTGCTAAGCAATCACCGCTCTCTCTCTCCCTCCGGGGTCACAGCAGTGAGCGTTTGATCTGGCCTTAATCTCCTGTGAGACCCTAGCCAGCTTCTATACGCTGAGGCCTGAAGCCAGCAAGCTCGGACACCCCAAGATGGGCTCTGGCCCTACATAGTGCACTACTTTTGACCAGATACCTATGGGGGCTTCCAGTCCACCCTATGGGCTCTGGCCCTACATAGTGCACTACTTTTGACCAGATGCCTATGGGGGCTTCCAGTCCACCCTATGAGCCCTGGTCAAAAGTAGTGCACTATGTAGGGAATAGGGTGCCATTTGGGCCATGATGTCTCTACTTGTTTTGCTTTAGAGCGTGTTGAATAGAGTGATTCAAAAGAGACTTGATTTAAAATTGAAAGATTCCCCAATGTCAGGTTCAGAGGAAAATCCTCTTCTGAAAGAGATTGTCAATGTCCTGGGCTGCAGTCCAAACACTTAATTTTTACCCCCTCAGCCCTTGCGCTAGCCACTTTCCCTCGGGGGAATCCCCGTCAAAACCGTATGCAGTTTGATTGCCATCTGAAGTGGAGGTCCAATTTACAGACGTTGACCCCTCAGCCCTCGGTTTAGCTTGAGGGAGCGAGTGAAGAACTTTGGTCACTTGCGGGGTTGATATGACCCACAATTCAATGCAAACTATAGTCACATGTCAAACTCTGGTGGCCGGGAAGTGTCAAATTGAATCAACAAGGCTGCATTTTCAGCATGTCAGAGAAAAGTATGAAGCAGCTAGCTAAATATATATAGACGACATTGATTTTAGCGTTGGCTAATTGGCTTAGTCTTGTAGTGAGGAGCCTATAAAACATAGCTAGATTCATAAACATATTTTTGGGAATTCTGAAATGTATTGGAATAAATGACCCAACTATAAAACTAGCTAGCCAGCTATGGGTAACTGTACCTAGCTGCCTGACAGGAGTGCTAGCTAAAACTAGCTAGCCAGCTATGGTAACTGTACCTAGCTACCTGACAGGAGTGCTAGCTAAAACTAGCTAGCCAGCTATGGGTAACTGTAGCTAGCTACCTGACAGGAGTGCTAGCTAAAACTAGCTAGCCAGCTATGGTAACTGTACCTAGCTGCCTGACAGGAGTGCTAGCTAAAACTAGCTAGCCAGCTATGGGTAACTGTAGCTAGCTACCTGACAGGAGTGCTAGCTAAAACTATCTAGCCAGCTATGGGTAACTGTAGCTAGCTACCTGACAGGAGTGCTAGCTAAAACTAGCTAGCCAGATATGGGTAACTGTAGCTAGCTACCTGACAGGAGTACTAGCTAAAACTAGCTAGCCAGCTATGGGTAACTGTAGCTAGCTACCTGACAGGAGTGCTAGCTAAAACTAGCTAGCCAGCTAGGGTAACGTAGCTAGCTACCTGACAGGAGTGCTAGCTAAAACTAGCTAGCCAGCTATGGGTAACTGTAGCTAGCTACCTGACAGGAGTGCTAGCTAGCTACGTTAGCTTGCTAGGTACATCAATAGCCTTTAGGTTGGTTGTTTTTAGGCTCAACTTCAAGATTTCCACCAAGGACGTTGCCTCTCCGATCATTTAAGATACACTCGGATGTGACGATGTAAAACGTAATTCAAGTGCTGAGGGTTTAGGGCCGAGGGCTGTCTACTTTGAGTTTGAAACGCAGCCCTGGTCTGGTCATTCATTCAGCCAAAATATAGACTGTCTTCTCTTGGTCGTCATGAACTTTGAACATGTCCTGTGTTGATGATAATGATATGGATTCTGACTCCTTAGTTAAATGGCATGGATTCAAATCAAATCAAATCAAAAATTTATTGGCCACATGCGCCGAATACAACAGGTGCAGACATTACAGTGAAATGCTTACTTACAGCCCTTAACCAACAGTGCGTTTATTTTAATAAAAAAGTAAAATAAAACAACAACAAAAAAGTGTTGAGAAAAAAAGAGCAGAAATAAAATAACAGTAGGGAGGCTATATATACAGTGGGTTACCGGTGCAGAGTCAATGTGCGGGGGCACCGGCTAGTTGAGGTAGTTGAAGTAATATGTACATGTGGGTAGAGTTAAAGTGACTATGCATAAATAATTAACAGAGTAGCAGCAGCGTAAAAAGATGGGGTCGGGGGGGCAGTGCAAATAGTCCGGGTAGCCATGATTAGCTGTTCATGAGTCTTATGGCTTGGGGGTAGAAGCTGTTGAGAAGTCTTTTGGACCTAGACTTGGCACTCCGGTACCGCTTGCCGTGCGGTAGCAGAGAGAACAGTCTATGACTAGGGTGGCTGGAGTCTTTGACAATTTTGAGGGCCTTCCTCTGACACCGCCTGGTATAGAGGTCCTGGATGGCAGGAAGCTTGGCCCCAGTGATGTACTGGGCCGTACGCACTGTCCTCTGTAGTGCCTTGCGGTCAGAGGCCGAGCAGTTGCCATACCAGGCGGTGATGCAACCAGTCAGGATGCTCTCGATGGTGCAGCTGTAGAATTTTTTGAGGATCTGAGGACCCATGCCGAATCTTTTCAGTCTCCTGAGGGGGAATAGGCTTTGTCGTGCCCTCTTCACGACTGTCTTGGTGTGTTTGGACCATGATAGTTCGTTGGTGATGTGGACACCAAGAAACTTGAAGCTCTCAACCTGTTCCACTACAGCCCCGTCAATGAGAATGGGGACGTGCTCAGCCCTCTTTTTTTTCCTGTAGTCCACAATCATCTCCTTTGTCTTGGTCACGTTGAGGGAGAGGTTGTTATCCTGGCACCACACGGCCAGGTCTCTGACCTCCTCCCTATAGGCTGTCTCATCGTTGTCGGTGATCAGGCCTACCACTGTTGTGTCGTCGGCAAACTTAATGATGGTGTTGGAGTCGTGCCTGGCCATGCAGTCATGGGTGAACAGGGAGTACAGGAGGGGACTGAGCACGCACCCCTGAGGGGCCCTTCGTGTTGAGGATCAGTGTGGCAGATGTGTTGTTACCTACCCTTACCACCTGGGGGCGCCCCGTCAGGAAGTCCAGAATCCAGTTGCAGAGGGAGGTGTTTAGTCCCAGGATCCTTAGCTTAGTGATGAGCTTTGAGGGCACTATGGTGTTGAATGCTGAGCTGTAGTCAATGAATAGCATTCTCACGTAGGTGTTCCTCTTGTCCAGGTGGGAAAGGGCAGTGTGGAGTGCAATAGAGATTGCATCATCTGTGGATCTGTTGGAGCGGTATGCAAATTGGAGTGGGTCTAGGGTTTCTGGGATAATGGTGTTGATGTGAGCCATGACCAGCCTTTCAAAGCACTTCATGGCTACAGACGTCAGTGCTACGGGTCGGTAGTCATTTAGGCAGGTTATCTTAGTGTCCTTGGGCACGGGGACTATGGTGGTCTGCTTGAAACATGTTGGTATTACAGACTCAGTCAGGGACATGTTGAAAATGTCAGTGAAGACACTTGCCAGTTGGTCAGCACATGCTCGGAGTACACGTCCTGGTAATCCGTCTGGACCTGCGGCCTTGTGAATGTTGACCTGCTTAAAAGTCTTACTCACATCGGCTACGGAGAGCGTGATTACATAGTCATCCGGAACAGCTGGTGCTCTCATGCATGCTTCAATGTTGCTTGCCTCGAAGTGAGCATAGAAGTGGTTTAGCTCGTCTGGTAGGCTTGTGTCACTGGGCAGCTCGCGGCTGTGCTTCCCTTTGTTGTCTGTAATCGTTTTCAAGCCCTGCCACATCCGACGAGCGTCAGAGCCGGTGTAGTACGATTCAATCTTAGTCCTGTATTGACTCTTTGCCTGTTTGATGGTTCGTCGGAGGGCATAGCGGGATTTCTTATAAGCGTCCGGGTTAGAGGATTAACATGTTAGAAGTGTTAACTTGTACCGTGCATGTCTTTCTCATCAGCGTTAGAGAATCTGCCAGGAAGCTAGTGATTGGACAGCTTGTTAAAGCTCATTAAGGAGCTGTGTGTGTATGTGAGGGTCTCCTGCTGCTAAGGTATGGATATGGGGTCAGACCTCCCAGCACCGCCACACATTCCTCTGTTGTTTACAGAGCAGAGAGGGCTTCTCTCCTGACCCCACACCTCTCTGTACCTCTCTCCCTGTCCACCCACCCTCACCCTGAGAGGAGTGGACAATAGTCTTTCAGTCAGTTCCTTGTCTCCTTTCTAACACGTGTGAAGACCAGGCCCATTGTGGCCTAGAGCCACTGAGCTGTGTTGAGGTAAATAGTACGGGCCGCCTCCCAGACGGTCCTACTAGGTTCACTAACGCACGGGTAGTCTTTGTTTGTGGATTATCTCTCTCCTTCTATCTCTCTCTCTCTTTCTATCTCTCTCTCTCTCTCTCTCTCTCTCTCTCTCTGTATCTATCTATCTGTTCTCTCCCTCTCTCTTCCTACCCACCTTAGTTTAATACACTGACTGTAATTCTCTCTGGATAAGAGTGTCTGCTAAATGACCAACATGAGAAGTGTAGCAGAAGAATGACTTGTTTTTCCTCCCCTCTCTCTCTCCAGACGTATGAGTTTGGAACATTCAAGACAACTATTGATTAAATTAACTAAATGTCTTCTCTCTCTCTCCAGGCATATGAGTGGGCGTTGGAGGGGATGCGCCACTTGGCCAGCATCAGCATGGAGGACTGCACAGTGCCTGACAAGTGCCAGGGGGTGATCAGCTGTCTGGAGGGGTACCGCCGGCAGCACCCCCCTATCCCCGACCCCTGCTTCCAGGAGATGAAGGAGCTGGCTGGGGAGGTGAAGAGTGAGCAGGGCCTCAAACAGTGGAAGTTCGCCTGGTCCAAGTGCCAGGAGACCAAGCAGATGTTTGAGAAGAAGCTGGAGGCCGCCCTGAGGACGAGGCGAGCCCTGCCCGCGGGAGAGTCACCCGGGTCGGGTACAACAGGTACAGGGAAGGGCAGCGGGGCAGGGGACGCCACCCCCAGACGCTACTCTGACGGTAACAGCCGTGTAGGCAAGGGACACGAGAGGAGCAGCAGTGTGTCATATGTCTGTAGAAAGGCCTTTAGTGGGGTGTGGGGGGGCAGAGAGAGACTCTCCTCCACTTCCAGCTCTGCCTCAGCTCAGTCCGCCTGCAGCCCCAGACAGGAGACCGGAGGAGGGGACAGAGAGGGGCCCTACGGTCTGGAGCACAAGCTCCCCCTCACCCCCCACCACACCCCGCTCCACACCCCCCTCTCCACCCAACGCCTCACCCGTAGCACTTCCTCCGAGGAGTCGTCCCACCGGGCCCGTATGGAGGCTCAGGGCCGTACCTCCTCCTGCTCCTTCTCCCCCTCCCTGCCCCCCCTGGAGCCAAGCTCCGCCCTTAACCCTGCTCGCCGACCCCCGCTCCGCAAGACCCAGAGCTTCGACTGCCAGAGCCCTGCCCCCGCCACCCCTGACTCCTCCCGCTATGGGACCTGCCAGCGTACGTTGAGCGAGCCAGCGCGGCGCGGGAACACTGGGGTGTTTATTAAAGGCCTGGAGGTCAGTAGTAGGGAGGTGGCCGAACGACCCTACTCCCCCAGAATGACGCCTCCTGGCTGGGCAGCAGGAGAGGCACTGAAGACCCCCCCCACCAGCACTACCAGTAGTCCGGCACCAGAGCCCCGCGCCAAGGGCAGGTAGGTACCAGTCTAGTCCAGCTACACACACAGGCACGTTGGCCTTGACTGTTAGACAGTACCTTTTGTTGAGTGTGTGTAAAAGGCTCTGTGTGTGGCCGTATGGAGGCTGGGCCTGATGCCGAGAGGCTGTCACCAGAGCGCCAATCACACTCTTCACAGACCCTTACCCCACACAGGGTGGCACAGAACCCCCCTGCACTGGCACACTGGAGGGAGGGAGGGGGGAGGGAGGGGGGGAGAGAGATGAACTGAGGGAGGGAAGGAGAAGGAGGGAGAAGCTGAGAGACCCCCAGCATGCTGTTGCCTTTCTTTGTTGCTTTGGTGTTTAGAATCCATTGCTCTTGTGTTGGAGAGTTGCCATAGTCTAGAGAAACCACAACAGTCTATACTCTGAAGAGACCAAAGCAACAAGAGGCAAGACAACAAAGGTTTACTTAGTCCCCTTCATCTTTGAATAGATTTAGTTTGTGCCTGTTGGTGCACAGTGTCTGTGGTGGCTGGGTGTCTGTGGTGGCTGGGTGTCTGTGGTGGCAGGGTGTCTGTGGTGGCTGGGTGTCTGTGGTGGCAGGGTGTCTGTTGGGTGTTGGTGTCTGGGTGTCTGTGGTGGCTGGGTGTCTGTGGTGGCAGGGTGTCTGTGGTGGCAGGGTGTCTGTGGTGGCTGGGTGTCTGTGGTGGCTGGGTGTCTGTGGTGTGCTGGTGTTGTGTGTCTGGGTGTCTGTGGTGGCTGGGTGTCTGTGGTGGCTGGGTGTCTGTGGTGGCTGGGTGTCTGTGGTGGCTGGGTGTCTGTGGTGGCTGGGTGTCTGTGGTGGCTGGGTGTCTGTGTGTCTGTGGTGTCTGGGTGTCTGTGGTTCTGGGTGTCTGTGGTGTCTGTGGTGGCTGGGTGTCTGTGGTGGCTGGGTGTCTGGGTGTCTGTGGTGTCTGGGTGGCTGGGTGTCTGTGTGTCTGTGGGTGTCTGTGGTGGCTGGGTGTCTGTGGTGGCTGGGTGTCTGTGGTTGGCTGGGTGTCTGTGGTGTCTGGGTGTCTGTGGTGGCTGACCCCATATTTTATTTATTTTTTATTTTATTCCCCCTTTATTTAACCAGGTAAGCCAGTTGAGAACAAGTTCTCATTTACAACTGCGACCTGGCCAAGATAAAGCAAAGCAGTGTGATAAAAACAACAACAACACAGATTTACCATATGGGGGTAAAACAAAACATAAAGTCAAAAATACAATAGAAAATATATATACAGTGTGTGCAAATGTAGCAAGTTATGGAGGTAAGGCAATAAATAGGCTATAGTGCAAAATAATTCCAATTAGTATTAACACTGGAATGATAGATGTGCAGAAGATGATGTGCAAATAGAGATACTGGGGTGCAAATGAGCAAAATAAATAACAATATGGTAGTTGAGTGGGCTAATTTCAGATGGGCTGTGTAGCTGGGTCCTGAGGACCACACTGACATGTTGAGACAGGTAGCTGGGTCCTGAGGACCACACTGACATGTTGAGACAGGTAGCTGGGTCCTGAGGACCACACTGACATGTTGAGACAGGTAGTTGGGGACTGAGGACCACACTGACATGTTGAGACAGGTAGCTGGGTCCTGAGGACCACACTGACATGTTGAGACAGGTAGCTGGGTCCTGAGGACCACACTGACATGTTGAGACAGGTAGTTGGGTCCTGAGGACCACACTGACATGTTGAGACAGGTAGTTGGGTCCTGAGGACCACACTGACATGTTGAGACAGGTAGCTGGGTCCTGAGGACCACACTGACATGTTGAGACAGGGAGCTGGGTCCTGAGGACCACACTGACATGTTGAGACAGGTAGTTGGGTCCTGAGGACCACACTGACATGTTGAGACAGGTAGTTGGGTCCTGAGGACCACACTGACATGTTGAGACAGGTAGTTGGGTCCTGAGGACCACACTGACATGTTGAGACAGGTAGCTGGGTCCTGAGGACCACACTGACATGTTGAGACAGGTAGTTGGGTCCTGAGGACCACACTGACATGTTGAGACAGGTAGCTGGGTCCTGAGGACCACACTGACATGTTGGGGAATGAGGACCACACTGACATGTTGAGACAGGTAGCTGGGGACTGAGGACCACACTGACATGTTGAGACAGGTAGCTGGGGACTGAGGACCACACTGACATGTTGAGACAGGTAGCTGGGGACTGAGGACCACACTGACATGTTGAGACAGGTAGTTGGGGACTGAGGACCACACTGACATGTTGAGACAGGTAGCTGGGTCCTGAGGACCACACTGACATGTTGAGACAGGTAACTGGGTCCTGAGGACCACACTGACATGTTGAGACAGGTAGTTGGGGACTGAGGACCACACTGACATGTTGAGACAGGTAGTTGGGGACTGAGGACCACACTGACATGTTGAGACAGGTAGTTGGGTCCTGAGGACCACACTGACATGTTGAGACAGGTAGCTGGGTCCTGAGGACCACACTGACATGTTGAGACAGGTAGTTGGGGACTGAGGACCACACTGACATGTTGAGACAGGTAGCTGGGTCCTGAGGACCACACTGACATGTTGAGACAGGTAGTTGGGGACTGAGGACCACACTGACATGTTGAGACAGGTAGTTGGGGACTGAGGACCACACTGACATGTTGAGACAGGTAGTTGGGTCCTGAGGACCACACTGACATGTTGAGACAGGTAGTTGGGGACTGAGGACCACACTGACATGTTGAGACAGGTAGTTGGGTCCTGAGGACAACACTGACATGTTGAGACAGGTAGCTGGGTCCTGAGGACCACACTGACATGTTGAGACAGGTAGTTGGGGACTGAGGACCACACTGACATGTTGAGACAGGTAGCTGGGTCCTGAGGACCACACTGACATGTTGAGACAGGTAGTTGGGGACTGAGGACCACACTGACATGTTGAGACAGGTAGTTGGGGTCCTGAGGACCACACTGACATGTTGAGACAGGTAGTTGGGGACTGAGGACCACACTGACATGTTGAGACAGGTAGCTGGGTCCTGAGGACCACACTGACATGTTGAGACAGGTAGCTGGGTCCTGAGGACCACACTGACATGTTGAGACAGGTAGTTGGGGACTGAGGACCACACTGACATGTTCAGACAGGTAGCTGGGTCCTGAGGACCACACTGACATGTTGAGACAGGTAGTTGGGGACTGAGGACCACACTGACATGTTGAGACAGGTAGTTGGGGACTGAGGACCACACTGACATGTTGAGACAGGTAGTTGGGGACTGAGGACCACACTGACATGTTGAGACAGGTAGCTGGGGACTGAGGACCACACTGACATGTTGGGGACTGAGGACCACACTGACATGTTGAGACAGGTAGTTGGGGACTGAGGACCACACTGACATGTTGAGACAGGTAGCTGGGGACTGAGGACCACACTGACATGTTGGGGACTGAGGACCACACTGACATGTTGAGACAGGTAGCTGGGTCCTGAGGACCACACTGACATGTTGAGACAGGTAGTTGGGGACTGAGGACCACACTGACATGTTGAGACAGCTAGCTGGGGGACTGAGGACCACACTGACATGTTGGGGACTGAGGACCACACTGACATGTTGAGACAGGTAGTTGGGGACTGAGGACCACACTGACATGTTGAGACAGGTAGCTGGGGACTGAGGACCACACTGACATGTTGAGACAGGTAGTTGGGGACTGAGGACCACACTGACATGTTGAGACAGGTAGTTGGGGACTGAGGACCACACTGACATGTTGAGACAGGTAGTTGGGGACTGAGGACCACACTGACATGTTGAGACAGCTAGCTGGGGACTGAGGACCACACTGACATGTTGGGGACTGAGGACCACACTGACATGTTGAGACAGGTAGTTGGGGACTGAGGACCACACTGACATGTTGAGACAGGTAGCTGGGTCCTGAGGACCACACTGACATGTTGAGACAGGTAGTTGGGGACTGAGGACCACACTGACATGTTGAGACAGGTAGCTGGGGACTGAGGACCACACTGACATGTTGAGACAGGTAGTTGGGGACTGAGGACCACACTGACATGTTGAGACAGGTAGTTGGGGACTGAGGACCACACTGACATGTTGGGGACTGAGGACCACACTGACATGTTGGGGACTGAGGACCACACTGACATGTTGAGACAGGTAGTTGGGGACTGAGGACCACACTGACATGTTGAGACAGGTAGTTGGGGGACTGAGGACCACACTGACATGTTGAGACAGGTAGTTGGGTCCTGAGGACCACACTGACATGTTGAGACAGGTAGTTTGGGGACTGAGGACCACACTGACATGTTGAGACAGGTAGCTGGGTCCTGAGGACCACACTGACATGTTGAGACAGGTAGTTGGGGGACTGAGGACCACACTGACATGTTGAGACAGGTAGCTGGGTCCTGAGGACCACACTGACATGTTGAGACAGGTAGCTGGGGTCCTGAGGACCACACTGACATGTTGAGACAGGTAGTTGGGGACTGAGGACCACACTGACATGTTGAGACAGGTAGCTGGGTCCTGAGGACCACACTGACATGTTGAGACAGGTAGTTGGGGACTGAGGACCACACTGACATGTTGAGAAGGTAGCTGGGTCCTGAGGACCACACTGACATGTTGAGACAGGGAGCTGGGTCCTGAGGACCACACTGACATGTTGAGACAGGTAGTTGGGGACTGAGGACCACACTGACATGTTGAGACAGGTAGTTGGGGACTGAGGACCACACTGACATGTTGGGACAGGTAGTTGGGGACTGAGGACCACACTGACATGTTGAGACAGGTAGTTGGGGACTGAGGACCACACTGACATGTTGAGACAGGTAGTTGGGGACTGAGGACCACACTGACATGTTGAGACAGGTAGTTGGGGACTGAGGACCACACTGACATGTTGAGACAGGTAGCTGGGTCCTGAGGACCACACTGACATGTTGAGACAGGTAGTTGGGGACTGAGGACCACACTGACATGTTCAGACAGGTAGTTGGGGACTGAGGACCACACTGACATGTTGAGACAGGTAGTTGGGGACTGAGGACCACACTGACATGTTGAGACAGGTAGCTGGGGACTGAGGACCACACTGACATGTTGAGACAGGTAGTTTGGGGACTGAGGACCACACTGACATGTTGAGACAGGTAGTTGGGGACTGAGGACCACACTGACATGTTGAGACAGGTAGCTGGGTCCTGAGGACCACACTGACATGTTGAGACAGGTAGTTGGGGACTGAGGACCACACTGACATGTTGAGACAGGTAGTTGGGGACTGAGGACCACACTGACATGTTGAGACAGGTAGTTGGGGACTGAGGACCACACTGACATGTTGAGACAGGTAGTTGGGGACTGAGGACCACACTGGACAGTTTAACACTCCTCTCCTCCTCTCTCTCCCTCCACAGTAAACTGACCAGTCTAACAGTCCTCTCTCTCCCTCCACAGTAAACTGACCAGTCTTAACAGTCCTCTCTCTCCCTCCACAGTAAACTGACCAGTCTTAACAGTCCTCTCTCTCCCTCCACAGTAAACTGACCAGTCTAACAGTCCTCTCTCTCCCTCCACATAAACTGACCATCTTAAACAGTCCTCTCTCTCCCTCCACAGTAAACTGACCAGTCCTTAACAGTCCTCTCTCTCCCTCCACAGTAAACTGACCAGTCTAACAGTCCTCTCTCTCCCTCCACATAACTGACCAGTCTTAACAGTCCTCTCTCTCCCTCCACAGTAAACTGACCAGTCTAACAGTCCTCTCTCTCCCTCCACAGTAAACTGACCAGTCTTAACAGTCCTCTCTCTCCCTCCACAGTAAACTGACCAGTCTAACAGTCCTCTCTCTCCCTCCACAGTAAACTGACCAGTCTAACAGTCCTCTCTCTCCCTCCACAGTAAACTGCGTCACATCGTGGATGAGATGGTGACCACGGAGAGAGATTACGTGCGTTCCCTCCGCTACATCATCGAGCACTACTTCCCCGAGATGGAGAGAGGAGACCTCCCGCAGGACCTCAGGGGAAAACGGAGCGTCATCTTTGGGAACCTGGAGAAACTAATGGACTTCCACAGCCAGTACTTCCTCAAGGGAGTGGAGTTAGAGGCAGATCTAGGTTTTTTCAAACCCTTAAGCTTAAACTATGGGTTTAGTTTTTAGTTAGTTAACTCAATACTATTACAATCCACTTCAAATAAATTCATACTCTACTTACCCTAAGACATAGTTCCTTCAAACATAGGATATTTCATTTTACAGGTATTTAAAATGTTAAGGGGAAAAATTTTTCAACAAGGAGGTTCTTAAAACTTTCTTAAATAGAATTAAATTCTAACGGTACGTTCTACCACCATCCCTGTGAAACCTAACCAAATTCAATTTTTTCCATTTCCTTAATCCCCGGGAAAAAGGGGATTAAAACAAACTTATCGAGGAAAGAGAAATATGAAAAAATATGTTAAAAACTATATTATGTTAAATTTTAGGAAGACAAAAAGGAATTTGGAAATGGGGAAAAAAAATAAGAGATAGATAAAAAATGATAAAAAAAAAAAAGAAGATATGAAAACCCCAATCGAAATTTTCTGTCCTCTTATTTCTTTTTCATGCTATCGTCCTCTTCCTAAGCGGGGTTAGGGTTTCTAATCCATTCCTCTTCATCTCTCCTTTTCTTTTCTCTCTCTCTATGCTCTCTCTCCTATCCTCTCTTCTCTCATCTCTCTCTCTTCACTGGGTTTTTCTCACCCCTTGTTTCTTAAATCTTTTCCCTTAAACACCATTCCCCTAAAGGTGTAACAAGTGTTTTAATTTTCCCAAAATTTTTTCCCCCTTCTGTTTAATTACGATAGATCACTAATGGTTGAATAAAGTTATTAAACTACAATACCTATAGAGTCTCACACTGCTTCCTACCACACGTAAGAGACTTCATACCTCTTACTCTGTAGCCTAATGACAGTATGTTCCTCAAACAGTAGAGGATATCCACTTCTGTTACAGCCGAATGACAATGTGTTACTGAGGTAACATGACTGGTGATTAGAGTTCAACTTTGTCCTGAGGGAGGCGCTTTTACCTTCAACTACCAACCCAGCTGTGAAAAATACTGAAATACTGACTCTACAATGCAGCCACTAATTCTCTAGCTGGTTACATGTGTCACAACCTATCTACACACTCCACTACAACCCCACTCTCTTCTATGCTATCATCTGTACTGTACCCTGCTCGGCGCAAGATCTGAGAGCGGAGATGAGAGCAGCGAGGAGGACAAAACGCGGAAGTAAAGCGAAGACAAGAAGATGAGAGATGAGGGAAATAGCGATGTAAGAGAGAGAGCGGAGAGGAGAGAGGAGAGAGGCGAGAACGAGGAGAGAGAGTTATATCGAAAGATATAGTGAGATATGAGTAGTATTCAAGCAGAGAGTATAAATCACTATACTCGTAATGCTCATACGAGATTATTAGAGAGGAGGGAGCTTATGACGGGGCTATCTGATATAGTATGGCTCATATTATAGAGACGCGCGTAGAGCTCTCTTATCTACTATTAGCTCTCATCTCTCGATATCCTATCTCTCTCTCTCTCCTTCTCTCTCTCTCTCTCTCAGCTCTCTCTCTCTCTCTCCCTCTCTCTCTCTTCCTCTCTCCTCTCCTCTCTCTCCTACTCCTCGTAATAACTGTGGTCGTTCTCAGACCCCTTGGTTTGATTTAAACATCCTGATTTTCCACCCTTCAAACAGCAGCTGAAGAATAGGCCTCTATCCCAGGCTTATAACAGGGAGACTTAAGGTTGCGTCCCAAATGGCACCCTATATTCCCTATGTAGTGCACTTCTTTTGACCAGAGCCTTATGGGCATTGGTCAAATTAGTGCACTAAATAGGGAATAGAGTGTCAGTTGGGATGCAGCCCAAAGTGGACACATTCCTCCTGGCTATAAAAGTCTGGGAGAGATACTGCACTCTGTATGAATATAAAAAGCAACCAAGCAATTTGACGTATCGCCAGAATTTCTCGCCGAATAAAAACCCGAACTGGTGGAGAAATGGAAAGTCCACGTTTCCTGTTGGTACAGGGCATGTTTACAGAACAAGAGGGTTTTCTGTTTTCTCTCAGTAGAATGATTTGTTTTGTTCCCCATGTAATCCACAGCAGGACGCGTTTGGCCTGTACGCTCTGTACAGTAAGAACAAGCCCAGGTCTGATACGCTGTTGGCCAGCCACGGAAACAGCTTCTTCAGGGTGAGGAAGAACACACGAACATACATACATGTGCTATGCTTCAGACCTTACAGACAACTAGCTGTGGCTTTTTGCACCTAACTGTCTACCTGTATAACCTTTGACCTCTAACCTCTTTTAGAACAAGCAGCTGGAGCTGGGAGATAAGATGGACCTGGCCTCCTACCTGTTAAAGCCCATCCAGAGAATGTCTAAATACGCTCTACTCCTGAAGGACCTGATCAAGGAGGTGAGCGAGGCACAGGAGACAGAGCTGGCCTACCTTCAGGCCGCTGCAGAGATGGTCAAGTTCCAGCTGCGTCACGGCAACGACCTGCTCGCCATGGACGCCATCCGAGACTGTGACGTGAGTGACACCTTCAGCCTGAGAGATATCATGTCTTCTTTGACCCTCACAGAAAACACAGGGGCACCAGTTATGGTACAACAGTGGAGGCTGCTGAGGGGAGGACGGCTCATAATAATGGCTGGAACGGAGCGAATGGAATGGCATCATGGAAACCATGGAAACCATGTGTTGGATGAATTTGATACCATTCCACTTATTCCACTCCAGCCATTACCACGAGCCCATCCTTATTCCACTCCAGCCATTACCACGAGCCCATCCTTATTCCACTCCAGCCATTACCACGAGCCCATCCTATTCCCTCCAGCCATTACCACGAGCCCATCCTTATTCCACTCCAGCCATTACCACGAGCCCATCCTTATTCCACTCCAGCCATTACCACGAGCCCATCCTTATTCCACTCCAGCCATTACCACGAGCCCATCCTTATTCCACTCCAGCCATTACCACGAGCCCATCCTTATTCCACTCCAGCCATTACCACGAGCCCATCCTTATTCCACTCCAGCCATTACCACGAGCCCATCCTTATTCCACTCCAGCCATTACCACGAGCCCATCTTATTCCACTCCAGCCATTACACGAGCCCATCTTATTCCACTCCAGCCATTACCACGAGCCCATCTTTCCACTCCAGCCATGACACCGAGCCCATGCCTTATTCACTCCAGCCATTACCAGAGCCATCTTATCACACTCCGCATTTAACACGAGCCATCCTTGATTCCACTCAGCCTTTACCACGAGGACCATCCTTATTCACTACCAGCCCTGAGAATAGGCACTTGGGAGCGATGCAATGCACTTTTCAAGTCGATGAACTTTACCACTGAGCCGTCTATTCTCTTTCCACCCAGGCCATTGAAGAGCAGCGGTCCAGTTAGTCCGAACCAGAGATCTGGGTATGGTCACGTGCAGGATTATCAGAGCGTCCTTATGCTTTCTTCCGAGTGATGTATTCCTCAGGCAACCACGGCCCACCTTATTCCATAAACCATTACGCACGAAGAGGCACATGGACGTTTAATTCATCTCAAACACCATTAAGGGGGCCCTCATCCTTACAAACCTGCATTTAAGGTAGGCCCTCCTTATTACAAACCCTCCTTAGGTAGGTCCCTCCATATCTACAAACCCTCATTTAAGGAGGGCCTCCATATCTACAAACCTCCTTTAAGGTATGGGCAGCACAATCTACAAACCCTCCTTTAAGGTAGAGGTACCACCATGATACTTAAACCTTCTTTAAGGTAGGCCCTCCTTTAACACACCCTCATTAAGGTAGGGCCCTCATACTCAAACCCCTCTTGAAGGTATGGGCTCATCTACAACCTCCTTTAAGGTGGGCCCCCAACTACAAACCCTCCTTAAGGTAGGCCTCCATTACAAACCTCCTTTAAGTTGGGCCTCCATATCTACAACCTCCTTTAAGTGGGCCTCATATCTACAAACCCTCCTTTAGGTTGGGCCCTCCATATCTACAAACCTCCTTTAAGGTTGGGCCCTCCATATCTACAAACCCTCCTTTAAGGTAGGGCCCTCCATATCTACAAACCCTCCTTTAAGGTAGGGCCCTCCATATCTACAAACCCTCCTTTAAGGTTGGGCCCTCCATATCTACAAACCCTCCTTTAAGGTTGGGCCCTCCATATCTACAAACCCTCCTTTAAGGTAGGACCCTCCATATCTACAAACCCTCCTTTAAGGTCTCCTATAAACATTATTTTCAGTTGGTGTTGCACCAAAACAGAATAAGCACGGTGAGATACTGTGGTCAGTTGTAGTGGTGACAGGGATGTGGTTATACTGTGGTCAGTTGTAGTGGTGACAGGGATGTGGTTATACTGTGGTCAGTTGTAGTAGTGACAGGGATGTGGTTATACTGTGGTCAGTTGTAGTAGTGACAGGGATGTGGTTATACTGTGGTCAGTTGTAGTGGTGACAGGGATGTGGTTATACTGTGGTCAGTTGTAGTGGTGACAGGGATGTGGTTATACTGTGGTCAGTTGTAGTGGGGGACAGGGATGTGGTTATACTGTGGTCAGTTGTAGTGGTGACAGGGATGTGGTTATACTGTTGGTCAGTTGTAGTGGTGACAGGGATGTGGTTATACTGTGGTCAGTTGTAGTGGTGACAGGGATGTGGTTATACTGTGGTCAGTTGTAGTGGTGACAGGGATGTGGTTATACTGTGGTCAGTTGTAGTGGTGACAGGGATGTGGTTATACTGTGGTCAGTTGTAGTGGTGACAGGGATGTGGTTATACTGTGGTCAGTTGTAGTGGTGACAGGGATGTGGTTATACTGTGGTCAGTTGTAGTGGTGACAGGGATGTGGTTATACTGTGGTCAGTTGTAGTGGTGACAGGGATGTGGTTATACTGTGGTCAGTTGTAGTGGTGACAGGGATGTGGTTATACTGTGGTCAGTTGTAGTGGTGACAGGGATGTGGTTCCCCTTTAGTTTTTACAATGTAGAGATGTGATAAGCAAAAACTTAGAATCTTGGAAAAAATAGAATGTTATTTTGCTGGGAATCGCGTCATCTCCCTCCCTCCTTCCAGACGGCGGATGTGGGGATGACCGAGATGTCTGGGGACAACGGTCTTCGTTTCGAGGTGTGGTTCAGACGCAGGACCAGTAAGAACCAGACGTACGTTCTGCAGGCCTCCAACACAGACATCAAACATGCCTGGACCTCCAACATCGCACGTATCCTCTGGCAGCAGGCTACACGGAATAAAGGTAGGGAGGGAGGGGGGGAGGGAAGGAGGGGGGAGGGAGGGAGGGGGGAGGGAGAGAGGGGGGGAGGGAGAGAGAGAGAGAGGGAGGACCGCCCACCCATGGCAATAAAACCCTTAAATTGAATTGAGAGAGAGAATACCAAGAGCATAACAGTGGATAAAAGTTTTATCTGTGTCTGTCTGGGTTGGCTCAGTGTGGTTAATTCATCTCTGTGTTACTATCTGTGTCTGTCTGGGTTGGCTCAGTGTGGTTAATTCATCTCTGTGTTACTATCTGTGTCTGTCTGGGTTGGCTCAGTGTGGTTAATTCATCTCTGTGTTACTATCGACTGTCTGTCTGGGTTGGCTCAGTGTGGTTAATTCATCTTTGTGTTACTATCTGTGTCTGTCTGGGTTGGCTCAGTGTGGTTAATTCATCTCTGTGTTACTATCTGTGTCTTATACTTGTGTTACATCTGTTGTCGGGTTGGCTCAGTGTGTAATTATCCTGTGTGGTCAGGATCCTAATCAGGGTGGTTCCTGGGAGTGGTAACAATTGCCGTTGATATCATTAAACCTCGTGTTCTGCCACAGGTGGTTAGACTTACTCTGAGGGCGATTACTAACCGTCGTTCGGTTCTCCAGGTGCGAACCACGCTACATTCTGTCCGTTTGAGTAATCCACCTTATAAGTACAGTCTAGGGGGTTCTGGACGTCTTGCCTGCTGCGCGGGTTCCTGATCTCCTGGGCCTCAACCTGCCTGTTCAGGCCAGGGATCAGCTCCTGTGCCCGAGAGCCTATCACGCCATTAGGGTAGGGGAGTGGAGCGAGAACAGCAGCCCTCCATGTACATAAGTGATCTGCCATACATACAGGGATAGACCCTCCATGAGTACATACAAAGACACCTCTGCTACATGTTATGCCCAGCCCTCATGTACTACATTAGAATCATCTCATGATACTACTGTAGCAGCCCCTCATGATACATACTATTAGATATCCCTCCATGAGTTACAACTATATAGATCATCCCGTCCATGATACATACTGTATAGATCATCCCTCCTGACTCATACTGTATAGATCATCCTCCATGACTACATTCTGTCAGATCACCCCTCCTGAGTACATACGTGTATGGATCTCCCTCCTGATACATACGTTATAGATCATCCCCTCCATGAGTACATACTGATAGATCATCCCTCCAGTGACTACATACTGTTATAGATCATCCCTCTGACTTGACTACATACATGTATAGATCACCCTCCATGGTACATACTTATGATCATCCCTCCATGAGTACATACTGTATAGATCATCCCTCCATGACTACATACTGTATAGATCATCCCTCCATGATACATACTGTATAGATCATCCCTCCATGATACATACTTATAGATCATGCCCTCCATGATACATACTTATAGATCACCTCCATGAGCTACATACTGTATAGATCATCCCTCCATGTACATTACTTATAGATCAGCCCTCCATGACTACATACTTATAGATACATCCCTCCATGACTACATACTGTATAGATCATCCCTCCATGAGTACATACTTATAGATCATCCCTCCATGAGTACATACTATATAGATCAGTCCCTCCTCTCCTACTGTATGATCACCCATGACTACTGTATAGATCATCCCTCCATGAGTACATACTGTATAGATCAGCCCTCCATGACTACATACTATATAGATCATCCCTCCATGACTACATACTGTATAGATCATCCCTCCATGACTACATACTGTATAGATCATCCCTCCATGACTACATACTATATAGATCATCCCTCCATGACTACATACTATATAGATCATCCCTCCAATGACTACATACTGTATAGATCATCCCTCCATGACTACATACTATATAGATCAATACCTCCCTACTCATACTAACACCCTCATGATACATACTATATAGATCATCCCTCCATGACGTACATACTTATAGATCATCCCTCCATGAGTACATACTATATAGCATCATCCCTCCATGACTAATACTGTATAGATCATCCCTCCATGAGGACATACTATAATAGATCATCCCTCCATGACTACATACTTATAGATCATCCCTCCATGAGTACATACTATATAGATCATCCCTCCATGACTACATACTGTATAGATCATCCTCCATGACTACATACGTATATAGATCATCCCTCCATGAGGACATCACTGATAGATCATCCCTCCATGAGTCAACTATATGATCAGATCATCCTCCATGACTACATACTGATAGATCATCCCTCCATGAGAATACTATATAGATCATCCCTCCATGACTACCATACTGTATAGATCATCCCTCCATGAACATACGTATAGATCAGTCATCCCTCCATGACTACATACTTATAGATCATCCCTCCATGATACATACTTAATAGATCACCCTCCATGAGCATACATAGATCATCCCCATGAACATACATACTGTATATCGATAATCCCTCCATGAGTACATACTATAGTATCCCTCATGACTACATATAATCATCCCTCCATGACTACATACTGTATAGATCATCCCTCCATGATGACATACTGTATAGATCATCCCTCCATGACTACATACTGATATAGATCATCCCTCCATGAGTACATACTTATAGATCATCCCTCCATGAGTACATACTATATAGATCATCCCTCCATGATACATACGTATAGATCAGCCCTCCATGATACATACTTATAGATCATCCCTCCATGACTACATACTGTATAGATCAGCCCTCCATGACTACATACTGTATAGATCATCCCTCCATGACTACATACTGTATAGATCATCCCTCCATGAGTACATACTGTATAGATCATCCCTCCATGACTACATACTATATAGATAATCATCCCTCCATGACTACATACTGATATAGATCATCCCTCCATGACTACATACTGTATAGATCAGCCCTCCATGACTACATACTGTATAGATCAGATCATCCCTCCATGACTACATACTGTATAGATCATCCCTCCATGAGTACATACTGTATAGATCATCCCTCCATGACTACATACTGTATAGATCATCCCTCCATGACTACATACTGTATAGATCAGATCATCCCTCCATGACTACATACTGTATAGATCATCCCTCCATGACTACATACTGTATAGATCAGCCCTCCATGACTACATACTGTATAGATCAGATCATCCCTCCATGACTACATACTGTATAGATCATCCCTCCATGACTACATACTGTATAGATCAGCCCTCCATGAGTACATACTGTATAGATCATCCCCTCCATGACTACATACTGTATAGATCATCCCTCCATGACTACATCTACTGTATAGATCATCCCTCATGACTACTATGTATAGATCATCCCTCATGACCATACTGTATAGATCACCCTCCATGACTACATACTGTATAGATCAATCCATCCTCAATGACTACATACTGTATAGATCATCCCTCCATGACTACATACTGTATAGATCATCCCTCCATGACTACATACTGTATAGATCATCCCTCCATGACTACATACTGTATAGATCTCATCCCTCCATGACTACATACTGTATAGATCATCCCTCCATGAGTACATACTATATAGATCATCCCTCCATGACTACATACTTATAGACATCCCTCCATGGACTACATACTGTATAGATCATCCCTCCATGACACATACTGATTAGATCATCCCTCCTGACTCAATTTAGCTACATGAGGTACATACTATCCGATACTACTGTATAGATCATCCCTCCATGACTACATACTATATAGATCATCCCTCCATGACTACATACTGTATAGATCATCCCTCCATGACTACATACTGTATAGATCATCCCTCCATGAGTACATACTGTATAGATCATCCCTCCATGACTACATACTGTATAGATCATCCCTCCATGACTACATACTGTATAGATCATCCCTCCATGACTACATACTGTATAGATCATCCCTCCATGACTACATACTGTATAGATCATCCCTCCATGACTACATACTGTATAGATCATCCCTCCATGACTACATACTGTATAGACACCCTCCATGAACTACATGCTCCCTCCAGACAGTATATCACCTATACTACACTTCTGTCTCAGGACCATGATCATCAGGTAGTACTACCCATGCCTGATCTCACGGAAGATATCCCTCCATGTACATAATATCAGCCCTTCCAGACATATTATATCAGGCCCTCCAGACTACAACAAGCATCCTTCTCAGGACAGTAAAATCAGGGTTATGACTACCAGCCTGTATAGGACAGTATATCAGGGTAGTACTACACAGCCTGTTCAGACTATATCAGGTAGTACTACACAGCCTGTCTCAGGACATATATCAGTGGTAGTACTACACAGCCTGTCTCAGGACAGTATATCAGGGTAGTACTACACAGCCTGTCTCAGGACAGTATATCAGGGTAGTACTACACAGCCTGTCTCAGGACAGTATATCAGGTAGTACTACACAGCCTGTCTCAGGACAGTATATCAGGGTAGTACTACACAGCCTGTCTCAGGACAGTATATCAGGGTAGTATACACAGCCTGTCTCAGGACAGTATATCAGGGTAGTGCTACACAGCCTGTTCAGGACAGTATATCAGGGTAGTACTACACAGCCTGTCTCAGGACAGTATATCAGGGTAGTACTACAAGCCTGTCTCAGGACAGTATATCAGGGTAGTACTACAAGCCTGTCTCAGGACAGATATCAGGGTAGTACTACACAGCCTGTCTCAGGACAGTATATCAGGGTAGTACTACACAGCCTGTCTAGGACAGTATATCAGGGGTAGTACTACACAGCCTGTCTAGGACAGTATATCAGGGTTTAGGCTTACACAGCCTGTCTCAGGACAGTATATCAGGGTAGTACTACACAGCCTGTCTCAGGACAGTATATCAGGGTAGTACTACACAGCATGTCTCAGGACAGTATATCAGGGTAGTACTACACAGCCTGTCAGGACAGTATATCAGGGTTAGTACTACACAGCCTGTCTCAGGACAGTATATCAGGGTTAGTACTACACAGCCTGTTCAGGACAGTATATCAGGGTAGTACTACACAGCCTGTCTCAGGACAGTATATCAGGGTAGTCTACACAGCCGTCTCAGGACAGTATATCAGGGTAGTACTACACAGCCTGTCTCAGGACAGTATATCAGGGTAGTACTACACAGCCTGTCAGGACAGTATATCAGGGTAGTACTACACGCCTGTCTCAGGACAGTATATCAGGGTAGTACTACACAGCCTGTCTCAGGACAGTATATCAGGGTAGTATACACAGCCTGTCTCAGGACAGTATATCAGGGTAGTACTACACAGCCTGTCTCAGGACAGTATATCAGGGTAGTGCTACACAGCCTGTCTCAGGACAGTATATCAGGGTAGTGCTACACAGCCTGTCTCAGGACAGTATATCAGGGTAGTACTACACAGCCTGTCAGGACAGTATATCAGGGTAGTACTACACAGCCTGTCTCAGGACAGTATATCAGTGGTTAGCCTGTTCAGGACAGTATATCAGGGTAGTACTACACAGCCTGTCTCAGGACAGTATATCAGGGTAGTACTACACAGCATGTCTCAGGACAGTATATCAGGGTAGTACTACACAGCCTGTCTCAGGACAGTATATCAGGGTAGTACTACACAGCCTGTCTCAGGACAGTATATCAGGGTAGCCTGTCTCAGGACAGTATATCAGGGTAGTACTACACAGCCTGTCTCAGGACAGTATATCAGGTAGTACTACACAGCCATGTCTCAGGACAGTATATCAGGGTAGTACTACACAGCCTGTCTCAGGACAGTATATCAGGGTGTATACTACACAGCCTGTCTCAGGACAGTATATCAGGGTATAGCCGTTCAGGACAGTATATCAGGGTAGTACTACACAGCCTGTCTCAGGACAGTATATCAGGGTAGTACTACACAGCCTGTCTCAGGACAGTATATCAGGGTAGTACTACACAGCCTGTCTCAGGACAGTATATCAGGGTAGTACTACACAGCCTGTCTCAGGACAGTATATCAGGGTTAGTACTACACAGCCTGTCTCAGGACAGTATATCAGGGTAGTACTACCAGCCTGTCTCAGGACAGTATATCAGGGTAGTACTACACAGCCTGTCTCAGGACAGTATATCAGGGTAGTACTACACAGCCTGTCTCAGGACAGTATATCAGGGTAGCCTGTCTCAGGACAGTATATCAGGGTAGTACTACACAGCCTGTCTCAGGACAGTATATCAGGGTAGCCTGTCTCAGGACAGTATATCAGGGTAGTACTACACAGCCTGTCTCAGGACAGTATATCAGGGTAGTACTACACAGCCTGTCTCAGGACAGTATATCAGGGTAGTACTACACAGCCTGTCTCAGGACAGTATATCAGGGTAGTACTACACTAGCAGCTTAGATCATCAAGAAAGGTCACAACTGTCCCTCAATCGCATGGTACTGTTTTTTTTATTGGTCCATCCACCACGCCCCCTCTTCGGAGGACAAAATAACTTTGTTTTGACAGCTTTTTATTTTCTTGTTGCATGTACATTCTACACACATTTTACATACATGGCATTTTTTTTTCACAGTAGTTACATAACAAGAATATAGTTATTTGATATACACTACCAGTCAAAAGTTTGGACACACCTACTCATTCAAGGGTTTTTCTTTATTTTTGCTATTTTTTACATTGTAGAATAATAGTGAAGACAACAAAACTATGATATAACACATATGGAATCATGTAGTAACCAAAACAGTGTTAAACAAATCAAAATATATTTTATATTTGAGATTCTTCAAATAGCCAAGAGTGTGCAAAGCTGTCATCAAGGCAAAGGGTGGCTATTTGAAGAATCTCAAATATAACATATATTTTGATTTGTTTAACACTTTTTTGGTTACTACATGATTCCATATGTGTTATTTCATAGTTTTGATGTCTTCACTATTATTCTACAATGTAGAAAATAGTAAAAATAAAGAAAAACCCTTAGAGTAGGTGTGTCCAAGCTTTTGACTGGTACTGTACATATCTGGATAGACAGTACTTAAACACATACGGTATACATTATATATCTTGTTTTCAGTCATAACTATTATAGAACATGAGCTTTTAAACCCCACCCCTCAGCTACTCTCTGTCCATCCCACCTATCTTCTTAACCCCACCCCTCAGCTACTCTGTCCATCCCACTGTTAAGTGAATTATTTAACAAACTATTTTAGTGTCTCTGTGCGTCTCCCAAAAGGTTGTAAGTCTTTTGGGATTTAAGTAACGGCCAGAGTCCCGGTCTGCATAGTCAGAGATATTTATTCATTGAGAATTCTGCCATCACAATTTCAGAGTCCATCTTTATACTCATACGTCATACAAAAAGAAATCCCTTCCCCTCTGTAGGCGGGCTGTAGTTTTCCACTCTAAACTGCTCTACTGACCTTCAGTTCACACACACACACACACTATACACACATGCATAACACATACATACACACACACACACACATATCCTACTCCCTGCTTTACTCAGTTATTGCCGTTCTCACAATATTCTGCACCATGTTTTCATAACAGTTTCTCCCCTCCCTAAATTGGGAGGCCTCTTTATCTTAGTTTCCCAGTTGTCTGTAGCCAGTTCTCCTTGTCCTTTGTTGTCTGGTCTAACTCCTACTCACATTGCTAAATAGTGGCTCAATGCCATAGCCTTTACTGGTCCTACACTCACACATTTCTAACACATTATACACAGTTTCAGGGTGTAATAATTAGTCATTAATAATTAATCTATCACCCACCCCACCCCTCAGCTACTCTGTCCATCCCACCTATCACCTAAACCCCACCCCTCAGCTACTCTGTCCATCCCACCTATCACCTAAACCCCACCCCTCAGCTACTCTGTCCATCCCACCTATCACCTAAACCCCACCCCTCAGCTACTCTGTCCATCCCACCTATCACCTAAACCCCACCCCTCAGCTACTCTGTCCATCCCACCTATCACCTAAACCCCACCCCTCAGCTACTCTGTCCATCCCACCTATCACCTAAACCCCACCCCTCAGCTACTCTGTCCATCCCACCTATCACCTAAACCCCACCCCTCAGCTACTCTGTCCATCCCACCTATCACCTAAACCCCACCCCTCAGCTACTCTGTCCATCCCACCTATTACCTAAACCCCACCCCTCAGCTACTCTGTCCATCCCACCTATCACCTAAACCCCACCCTCAGCTACTCTGTCCATCCCACCTATCCTAAACCTCAAACCCCACCCCTCAGCTACTCTGTCCATCCCACCTATCACCTAAACCCACCCCTCAGCTACTCTGTCCATCCCACCTATCACCTAAACCCCACCCCTCAGCTACTCTGTCCATCCCACCTACAACCTAAACCCCACCCCTCAGCTACTCTGTCCATCCCACCTATTCACCTAAACCCCACCCTCAGCTACTCTGTCCATCCCACCTATCACCTAAACCCCACCCTCAGCTACTCTGTCCATCCACCTATCACCTAAACCCCACCCCTCACTATCTCTGTCCATCCCACTATCACATAACCCCACCCCTCAGCTACTGTCCATCCCACCTATTCACCTAAACCCCACCCCTCAGCTACTCTGTCCATCCACTATCACCTAAACCCCTATTCAGCATATTTTCTATTTTATTTCACCTTAACCCAACCAAACCTCAGCTACTCTGTATTTCCACCTGTCACCAAAGCCCATCTATCAGTAATGATCAACTCCTATCCTCTCTCTCTCTCTCCCCACAGCTACTGAGAGCTCTGGCTCGTCGTCCCACTGTCTGTCCGCCAGCGGCTCCAGTGGTTCAGACAGTGGCTGTGTGTCCAGCCACCTCCCTGAGGCCTGTCTATCTGAGGATCCCTCGTTCCCCTGCCACCCCCCGTCCTCCTGCTACCCGTCCTCCGACGCCGTCACCTCCCCCAGCCTCCCCCAAGACGAGCCCCGCTACAGCAACAGACAGTACATTTCAGCCGTAAGTGGACATAATGGTTATGGATGGTTTATCGGCTCGTTGATACCTGGTAGCAGTTTATACGCAGACACAGTGGCTATGGAAGCAGTGGCCTTAGTCCTGGAGAGATGCAGGGTTTTCTCCAGCCCTACAACACCAGTTCTCAGTGTGGTGTTTTCAGAGGGCTGCTTTGGACTAACATGTACACAATGCTGGTATGATTTGTGATATGTTACGATCCATGCCATATGCAGTCATGGAAGAATGGTTGATCATGTCTCTAATCGAATGTGATATACTATTGATTAATGTTAACAATAATTAATTGATTGATTAAACATCTCCTGTATGAGCTTGGCTTTGTGCAAACCCCGCTGACATGATCAATAACCTCGCTGACATGAGCAATGCTTGTAACATTCCTCTAATCAGAATAACACATCTGTAACCCTGGCCTCCCTCCCTCCCTTCCCTCCCTCCTCTCTCTCTCTCTCTCCTCCTCTCTCTCTCTCTCTCTCGTCTCTCTCCCTCCCTCCCTCCCTCCCTCCCTCCCTCCCTCCCTCCCTCCCTCCCTCCGTCCCTCTCTCCTCTCTCCCTCCCTCCCTCCCTCCCCCCACCCCTCTCCCACCCTCCCTTTCGCACTCCTCTCTCTCTCTCCTTCCCTCCCTCCCTCTCTCCCTCCTCTCTCCTCCTCTCTCTCTCTCCCTCTCTCCCTCCCTCTCCTCCCCCCTCCATCCCTCTCTCCTCCCTCTTCTCTCTCCCTCCCTCCCTCCCTCCCTCCATCTACAGAAAGTAGCTCAGATCATAGGCCCTTCCACTATAGTGTGATTCCTGACTGGAACCCTGCTTGGAGTAAGTGGAGCAACGCTTTTCATGTCACACTCAAATCAAAACACAGTCTCTAAACAATGCTATCTAAAACAATGCCCAGGGCCTGTATTCACAAAGCGTTTCAGAGTAGGAGTGTTGAACTAGGATCAGGCCTTGTAGTCTTATTCATTATGATCTAAAAGGGAAAGCTGATCCTAGATCAGCACTCCTACTGAGATGCTATGTGAATATGGACCCTGGGCTAAGAGCTGTGCTAGTCTGTATTTCTCCAAGCTGCTGCTGTTTATGGCATAGCCTGGGTACCAGCCTCTTTGTGCTAACATTCAACCCCTTGTCATGCCAAACACATGACACAGAGTACAAGGAGTGGAATGTTAGCACAAAACAGGTCTGGATTTCAGGCTAGCTGTGGTGTTTTCATTGGAAGTATTGGTGCTGTAGTATCTCTGTAGTAACTCTAGTATCTCTGTAGTATCTCTGTAGTAACTCTAGTATCTCTGTAGTAACTCTGTAGTATCTCTGTAGTAACTCTAGTATCTCTGTAGTAACTCTGTAGTAACTCTGTAGTAACTCTAGTATCTCTGTAGTAACTCTGTAGTAACTCTGTAGTAACTCTGTAGTATCTCTGTAGTAACTCTGTAGTATCTCTGTAGTATCTCTGTAGTATCTCTAGTATCTCTGTAGTAACTCTGTAGTAACTCTAGTATCTCTGTAGTAACTCTGTAGTATCTCTGTAGTATCTATGTAGTAACTCTGTAGTATCTCTGTAGTATCTCTGTAGTAACTCTGTAGTAACTCTGTAGTATCTCTGTAGTAACTCTGTAGTAACTCTGTAGTATCTCTGTAGTAACTCTGTAGTATCTCTGTAGTAACTCTAGTATCTCTGTAGTATCTCTGTAGTATCTCTGTAGTAACTCTGTAGTAACTCTGTTCTCTGGTCTCTCTACAGGTCTAATATCCAGCTGCTTCCATCCAGAAAGACACTGTTAACACGCGAAGGAAGACTGACGAGTATTTATTTTTTCTCGCGCTGCCAGCAACAACTCTCATCTCACATGGACGCCGAAAAGACCTGGGACATAGCACTGTTTTGAAAAAGAAAAGCCACTTTTGAGCATAACTTTTATATTGTAAAAAAAAAAAAAAAGTTGATTTAAATATTGTTATATTTTTCTTTCCAGAAGTACTGGTGGGTGCAGTAGTTTGTTCTGTTCTATATTGGTTACTCTGTAAATAATGATTGGAATAGTTTCCAGTGAAGATATGAACGCTTGATTGCTTTATCTTCTTCCTCTTGTCTTGTTGACCACTTTTTCTCCAGACTGCAACTTCTGAAACACCTGATGATTGATGATATACCTTGGGATGAAAAGGCTAGTTCTGAATCAGGCAGGAGTATGTCAGGATACGTTTACTCTTCAAAGGTCCAAATCAACATGCTTTTTCAAAAGGCAGCATTCTGGTACCACTCTTTTACATTGTCTTCACATAATGTCTGTTCTTTCGTTTCTGAATTGACCTGTGGTCCGATTCCTCCATCTTGTTTTACCGTGGTGGTGTTGCCACTTCCTTAGTGCCTCCTGTAGCTGGTCAGGTCTGACTGCGGGTGCGTCCCTAATGGCACCCTATTCCCTATATAGTGCACTACTTTAGACCAGAGACCTATGGCCAAAAGCTCGGGTCAAAAGTAGTGCACTATATATATAGGGAATAGGGTGCCATTTGGGACGCAAGCCTGACTCCAGGTCAGTTCCCCTGACAGGTCAGAGCCAGTGGGTCTGAGAGGCTGACGTCTCTCCTGGTGGTGGATCTGTCCTCTCAGCTGGGTGACTTGGGGCTGGTGTGATGTAGACGGGGAGAGGGAGAACGGTCCACACTGAGAGGACAGATACTATCAGCTACAGAGTTTCAAATGCAAAACCTTTTTTCTTGTTGTTCATAAAAAGAAAACACCAAAATGTACTTTGTCTGTAAATATTTGCGCCAGTGGTGCTCTGTGGTTGTAGCATTGTGTATGAGAAAGCAGAGGAAGGTTGTGATAACGTTGTACATGTATGTATTAACCAGCAGAAAGCAGCAGGGGAATCGCTCAAGTGCCATTCTCAAACAAACACATGACAAAATGACTGTCCACTAGTTGAAGCTGGAGCGTGAATGTGGACTCAACTGTCATATTTCTTCATCCTAACAAGTTCACACATTTAATAAAGATGGATTGCTTTGTATCCAGAAGGAGGGTGTTGCTTTTCACTGGGATCCTGAGATGGGTGTAGGTGAGTGAACCTGTCTTACTGTGTTGAGGTGTGGGGAACACTGTGGGCCTGTAGTCTGTAGGGTAGTGTATCTTACTGTGCTGAGGTGTGGGGAACACTGTGGGCCTGTAGTCTGTAGGGTAGTGTATCTTACTGTGTTGAGGTGTGGGGAACACTGTGGGCCTGTAGTCTGTAGGGTAGTGTATCTTACTGTGGCTGAGGTGTGGGGAACACTGTGGGCCTGTAGTCTGTAGGTAGTGTATCTTACTGTGCTGAGGTGTGGGGAACACTGTGGGCCTGTAGTCTGTAGGGTAGTGTATCTTAACTGTGCTGAGGTTGTGGGGAACACTGTGGGGCCTGTAGTCTGTAGGGTAGTGTATGCTTTACTTGGTTGAGGTGTGGGGAACACTGTGGGCCTGTAGTCTGTAGGGTAGTGTATCTTCCGGTGTTTGAGGTGTGGGGGAACACTGTGGGCCTGTAGTCTGTAGGGTAGTGTATCTTACTGTGCTTGAGGTGTGGGGGAACACTGTGGGCCTGTAGTCTGTAGGGTAGTGTAATCTTACTGTGCTGAGGTGTGGGGAACACTGTGGGCCTGTAGTCTGTAGGGTAGTGTGTCTTACTGTGCTGAGGTGTGGGGAACACTGTGGGCCTGTAGGGTAGTGTATCTTACTGTGCTGAGGTGTGGGGAACACTGTGGGCCTGTAGTCTGTAGGGTAGTGTATCTTACTGTGCTGAGGTGTGGGGAACACTGTGGGCCTGTAGTCTGTAGGGTAGTGTATCTTACTGGTGTTGAGGTGTGGGGAACACTGTGGGCCTGTAGTCTGTAGGGTAGTGTATCATACTGTGCTGAGGTGTGGGGAACACTGTGGGCCTGTAGTCTGTAGGGTAGTGTATCTTACTGTGTTGAGGTGTGGGGAACACTGTGGGCCTGTAGTCTGTAGGGTAGTGTATCTTACTGTGTTGAGGTGTGGGGAACACTGTGGGCCTGTAGTCTGTAGGGTAGTGTATCTTACTGTGCTGAGGTGTGGGGAACACTGTGGGCCTGTAGTCTGTAGGGTAGTGTATCTTACTGTGCTGAGGTGTGGGGAACACTGTGGGCCTGTAGTCTGTAGGGTAGTGTATCTTACTGTGCTGAGGTGTGGGGAACACTGTAGTCTTGTCCTAAGGAAACAGAGTGACTGTATGACAGAGTCCTCTATCCAGCTGCTCCAGACACTCAGTGTAGCGCTGGGCTAGAGGAAGGGAGAACTGGAACAAGGAAAGGGATGATGGATCTCTCAGAGATAGTCACAGTAGATTGATTTCAATTGAAGATTTTTGGTTCAAGAGGCCCTGAATGTTGGTTTTGTGGGACCCCGTCTGGACAATATTCTAGGGGAAACACTGAGAGGAAATCCTAAGGCGCTCACCTCCACCCACTGCAGTAGCTGCTGCTCTCTGCTCTTCTCCCGTCTCTCAGAACAAACGACTCTGAGCAGCTCAGAGACAAAGTCCTCAGCCTTCGCCTGTCCTGTCTGGGGGAAGAGAGCGACGGGGAGAGGGGTCAGGGAATGAATGGGAGCTGCACCAAAGAGACCCATCTTTACCACACCAATATTGGCACCTCAGGTGACCACTCAAACAGTTTACAGAACATCAACTCCATAATATAACTCCATAATATCAGCAATATAAAAAGTCCTTATATCAACACCAAAGGGGGAGTTTCCCGGACACAGATTAAACCTAATCCTGGACTAAAGAGCATGCTGAATGGAGAATCCCCATTGAGTTTGCATTTTAGTCCAGGCTTAATCTGTGTTCAGAAAACTGCCGGCAAGCGTATAGTCTAGTCTTGTTACCCAGAGGAAATAGACCAGATTGGCTATCTTGACAGTGCAGTCCTTGGAGTCCTCTAGTCTTATGGAGTCCAGGATGAGTCCAGTCAGAAAGACGTGGCACTGCCTCCCAAACACCATCTCCTCCCAGGACACATTGAAGCAGGCAAAAGCCACATCTGGAAGGTGAGCTAGAGACAGACTGTCTGGATGCAAATCAACTCGTTTACCACGACTCAGCAGGAAATATATACAACAGAACCTCTACAGATCTAAACTATTGTGGTCTGCTTCCCAAATGGCACCCAATTCCCTTTATAGTGCACTGCTTTTAACCAGTAGTGCACTATATAGGGATTAGGCTGCCATTTGGACGCACACTGTTTCTCTCTCATTAAACAGAGGAAACCAACAGCGGGAATTCAAGCCAGTCCTGCTCTAATGGACTAGATTCATCATGCATAATGATAGTGTGATAGTTGTTCTCTCATGCTGTGGCCAGTAAACAAAGTCTTGTGACAAACTTTAACACGCAACATTTGGTTCTGGGTGCCAAGATTAGTTAACACATTCCATACCACGCTACACCACACGCTACATCACACCACCACGCTACACCACACGCTACACACAACCACACCACACACCTACACACACCAACCACACGTACATCACACCACACGCTACACTACACGCTACACCACACGCTACATCACACCACACGCTACAACCACACGCTACACCACACCACACGCTACACCACACGCTACATCACACCACACGCTACTCACACCACACCCACACGTCGCTACAACCACCCACCTACACACACACCACCACACACACGCTACCAACCTACACACACGCTACATCACACACAACCCACACGCTACATCACACCACACGCTACATACACACCCTACACCACACGCTACATCACACGCACATCACCACACGCTACACCACACGCTCTCACACACACACCCACCCGCTCTCACACCCACACCACCCACACGCTACACCAAACCACACGCTCTACACACCACACGCTCTACAACCCACACACCAACACACACCGCTCTACCACGCACACCACACGCTACACTCACACCACCACACGCTACAACCACACGCTACATCCCCACACGCTACCCATCACGCACACCACACGCTACAAATCACACGCTACATCACACCACACGCTCACCCAACGCTACCCACCACACGCTACATCACACACTACACCCACACTCACACCGCTTACACCACACACGCTACATCACACCACACGCTACATCACACGCTACATCACACCACACGCTACACACACACAGCTACCCACCCCACCACGTCATCACACCTACACCACACACGCTACATAACCACGCTACCACCACAGCTACACCACACTACACCACACGCTACACAGTACACCAACCACACCGCTACATCACAACCACACGCTACACCTACACACACCACACCTACATCACACCCCCACACGCTACATACAACACGCTACACCACCACATGCTACATCCACACACACGCTACATCACACCACACGCTACACCACATGCTACACACACCACACGCTACATCACACCACACGCTACACCACATGCTACATCACACACACGCTACACCACACGCTACATCACACCACACGCTAACACACTACAACGCTACACCACCACGCACACACACGCTACACCCACACGCTAACACACCACACGCCTCTCCACACCACACGCCTACATCACCACGCTACCACCACACGCTACACACCACCCCACGCTCACAACCCACGCTACATCACACGCTACACCACACGCTACACCACACGCTACACCACACCCTACACACACGCTACACACACGCTACACCACACCTACACCACACGCTACACCACACGCTACATCACACGCTACACCACACGCTACCACACCACGCTACACCACACGCTACACCACACGCTACACCACACGCTACACCACACGCTACACCACACGCTACATCCACCGCTACACACACGCTAAAACACCCACACTCTACACCACACGCACACCACTACACCACACTACACCACACGCTACACACCAACCTAACCAAGTACACACGTACACCCACACACCACACGCTACACCTCCAAGACATTCCAGTTCTAAACAAGTCCAATCCACATAAGCCCTGCAGACGTTATTTATTCACACAGAGTTCCCTGGTACTAATCATGAGACTGCTCCCATTTCCTTCTATAGCTACTATCATGGGACTGATTGAGAAAGTAGTCTCCATCTCCCCCTTGTGGACAGGGTGGCATACTGCATGCGTTTACTGAGCACAACATAGTTATCAAACCATCGCACAGTAAAAGGTCATGGTAAAGACTACTCTATACTGCTCCACTTTGTCTGTCGCTGATACCTGAGGGAACATGTTCATCACCTTGAAATATATGCACATTACACTAAGACAAATACTCCATACTGACGGAAGAAGAAGTGACCTGTGTGGAGGCGGCTGTAGTACTCGGTGAGTATCCTCAGCTCCCTCGCCCCGCCGAGGGTGCAACCTGAACACCCGCGGAACGCCCTCGGGACTGCTCCATGCCCCATTTGCCCTCAAACTCCATCAGGAAAGAAGAGAGCGCATCAGCTGAATTCTCTGTGAACTTCCAGCCTATCAGGCCGCCCAATGCCATCACCTGAGACAGCCCTCAGGTCAGGCCTGCTCCAATGCCATCTACACCTGAGAGACAGCCCTCAGGTCAGGCCCTGCTCCAATGCCATCTACACCTGGAGAGACAGCCCTCAGGTCAGGCCTGCTCCAATGCCATCTAACTGAGGACAGCCCTCAGGTCAGGCCTGCTCCAAGCCATACACCTGAGAGACAGCCTCAGGTCAGGCCTCTCCAAGCTCATCTACACCTGAGAGAAGCCCTCAGGTCAGGCTGCTCCATGCCATCTACACCTGAGACACACCTCAGGTCAGGCCTGCTCCATGCCATCTACACCGAGACACAGCCCTCAGGTCGGGCCCTGCTCCAATGCCTCTCACCTGAGAGACAGCCCTCAGGTCAGGCTGCTCCAATGCCATCTACACCCTGAGAGACAGCCTCAGGTCAGGCCTGCTCCAATGCCATCTACACCTGAGAGACAGCCCTCAGGTCGGCCTGCTCCAATGCCATCACACCTGAGAGACGCCCTCAGGTCAGGCCTGCTCAATGCCATTACACCTGAGAGACAGCCCTCGGTCAGGCTGCTCCAATGCCATCTACACCTGAGAGAAAGCCTCAGGTCAGGCCTGCTCCAATGCCATCTACACCTGAGAACAGCCCTCAGGTCACCTCTCCAATGCCATCTACACCTGAGACAAGCCTCAGGTCAGGCCTGCTCAATGCCATCTACACCTGAGAGACAGCCCTCAGGTCAGGCTGCTCAATGCATCTACACTGAGAGAAGCCCTCAGGTCAGGCCTGCTCCAATGCCATTACACCTGAGAGACAGCCTCAGGTCAGGCCTGCTCCAATGCCATCTACACCTGAGAGACAGCCCTCAGGTCAGGCTGCTCCAATGCCATCTACACCTGAGAGACAGCCCTCAGGTCAGGCCTGCATCCAATGCCATCTACACCTGAGAGACAGCCCTCAGGTCAGGCCTGCTCCAATGCCAATCTACACCTGAGAGACAGCCCTCAGGTCAGGCCTGCTCCAATGCCATCTACACCTGAGAGACAGCCCTCAGGTCAGGCCTGCTCCAATGCCATCTACACCTGAGAGACAGCCCTCAGGTCAGGCCTGCTCCAATGCCATCTACACCTGAGAGACAGCCCTCAGGTCAGGCCTGCTCCAATGCCATCTACACCTGAGAGACAGCCCTCAGGTCAGGCCTGCTCCAATGCCATCTACACCTGAGAGACAGCCCTCAGGTCAGGCCTGCTCCAATGCCATCTACACCTGAGAGACAGCCCTCAGGTCAGGCCTGCTCCAATGCCATCTACACCTGAGAGACAGCCCTCAGGTCAGGCCTGCTCCAATGCCATCTACACCTGAGAGACAGCCCTCAGGTCAGGGCCTGCTCCAATGCCATCTACACCTGAGAGACAAGGCCCTCAGGTCAGGCCTGCTCCAATGCCATCTACACCTGAGAGACAGCCCTCAGGTCAGGCCTGCTCCAATGCCATCTACACCTGAGAGACAGCCTCGTCTGACCCTCCAATGCCATCTACACCTGAGAGACAGCCCTCAGGTCAGGCCTGCTCCAATGCCATCTACACCTGAGAGACAGCCCTCAGGTAGGCTGCTCCAATGCCATCTACACCTGAGAGACAGCCCCAAGAGACCCAGTACATTGTGAGTTCAGAAGTCACTTTCAGGGTAAAGGAACCATTTTAACATTATTCTGACCCAAGCTCACTCTGACAGACATTCTACAAAGCCTATTGAAGCCAATGATCTACTATCACTGCCTAACAGTACTACTAGTCTATAGTCTCCCAGTTGCCTTCACCTCATTTAACACCTGATTTACTTAACAAGAGGTCAATCCACTAGGTGGTCCAGGGGCCATCACGACATGGCCAGCGTGTGGGGGGGACGGACTTTCCCCTTTTGTTCTCTATTGTTCCTCAACGCAAGGGGGGGCTGATGAAATCAACAATCCCATAACAAATCTTGAATGCCTACTACTGAAGTTGCCTAAAAACCTGTTTGCTAAAACCAACATGTAAAGTAAGTGTTGTACTTTCTCTGTATTTAACTGATATTACTTTTCAACAGGACAAATCACTGGAGGACGTCTTTAAGGCTTAGTGGGTGATTTCTCTAATTGCTACTACCCTCAAAGGGGAGTGCAGTCTGATGACAGCAGAACACTTCTCCATAGAAATCCCTGAAACACTAGGCCTGGAAGTTTGCTAAAGCTCAGCAGAAACACTTCAGTGGGTACTATGCCTGTTGACACTTGGGAATCTTTTCAACGGAAAAATAAGGCAGCGTCTTAAGGTTGTAGTGGGTGATCTCAAAATGCATTACCTCAAAGGGTAGTACAGTATGATGACAGGCAAACTACTCGCAATAGAAAATCCCCCAACAGATTGTAGGCCTGACGAGTTGGCTAGCTAAGCTCATGGCAAAAACAGTCATCGGAGGTCTAATGGTCGTCTGACCGAATTGGCATGTTGCAGGAACGTCAAAAAACAACGCTTCGATTAAGGTACCAAAGAAAACCAACCCTTGAGAAAGTTAATTTCCATGAAACATCTTCAAGGAGGCCAGGCCAGGTAAGTGAACCAGTTTTACTTGAATCGGAACCAAAAGCAACAACATGTCCAGCTCGTCACGAGAAAGGAAAGGTGCACGAAACCTAGTGGAAAGCGCCTGCAACGTTGCGGTCATCCAACGGACACTGAACCAAATTAGAACAGTGCCAACTGAATGCCCGTCCAGAAGGAACACTGGGGGGGACCAACGCCCTTGAGCCATGTTTACAGGGGTCGAGAACGAATGGCAGTCGAGCCAAGCCCATTAACAGTCCAAGATTGCATGTGTAAAACACTGTCATTGGTAAAGACACATTACTATGCCCAGTAATCTGTATTCAACTACTGAGCATCTATAGAGTAGATATCAACTGTTGGCACTCTCGCAGTGAGTTGCAGATCATGTCAAACTGGTAGCCTGAGACATAGGGCAAATGCAAACATGTTCATGTCAGCTCACTGGTAAGATGAAAAAACAGTTCATAAATATGAGAAATATAATAACATGTCATCACTACTGAAGACATGTTGGAGTAATAACATGTTCAACTAACATGAAATGAATGTTCCCCACTACTGAAACATGGAGTAATAACATGTTCACTACTGAAGACATGTGGAGTAATAACATGTTCAACTACTGAAGAATGTGGGAGTAATAACATGTTCAACTACTGAGACATTTGGAGTAATAACATGTTTCAACTACTGAAGACATGTGAGTAATAACATGTTCAACTACTGAAGCATATGGAGTAATAACTGTTCAACTACTGAAGACATGTTGGGTAATAACATGTTCAACTACTGAAGACATGTGGTAATAACATTTCAACTACTGAAGACATGTGGAGTAATAACATGTTCAACTACTGAGACAGTGGAGTAATAACATGTCAACTACTGAAGACTGATGGAGTAATAACATGTTCAACTACTGAAGACATGTTGGAGTATAAACATGTTCAACTACTGAAGACATGATGGAGTAAAACATTTCAACTACTGAAGACATGTGAGTAATACATGTTCAACTACTGAAGACATGTGGAGTAATAACATGTTCAACTACTGAAGACAGTTGGAGTAATAACAGGGTTCAACTACTGAAGACATGTTGGAGTAATAACATGTTCAACTACTGAGACATGTGGAGTATAAATGTTCAACTACTGAAGACATGGAGTAATAACATGTTCAACTACTGAAGACATGTTGGAGTAATAACATGTTCAACTACTGAAGACATGTTGGAGTAATAACATGTTCAACTACTGAAGACATGTTGGAGTAATAACATGTTCAACTACTGAAGACATGTGGAGTAATAACATGTTCAACTACTGAAGACATGTTGGAGTAATAACATGTTCAACTACTGAAGACATGTTGGAGTAATAACATGTTCAACTACTGAAGACATGATGGAGTAATAACATGTTCAACTACTGAAGACATGTTGGAGTAATAACATGTTCAACTACTGAAGACATGATGGAGTAATAACATGTTCAACTACTGAAGACATGTGGAGTAATAACATGTTCAACTACTGAAGACATGATGGAGTAATAACATGTTCAACTACTGAAGACATGTTGGAGTAATAACATGTTCAACTACTGAAGACATGTTGGAGTAATACATGTCAACTACTGAAGACATGATGGAGTAATTACAATGTTCAACACTGAAGACATGATGGAGTATAACATGTTCAACTACTGAAGACATTTGGAGGCGAGTAATAACATGTTCAACTACTGAAGACATGATGGAGTAATAACATGTTCAACTACTGAAGACATGTTTGGAGTAATAACATGTTCAACTACTGAAGACATGTTGGAGTAATAACATGTTCAACTACTGAAGACTGTTGGAGTAATAACATGTTCAAACTACTGAAGACATGATGGAGTCAATAACATGTTCAACTACTGAAGACATGATGGAGTAATAACATGTTCAACTACTGAAGACATGTTGGTAATAACATGTGTCAACTACTGAAGACAGATGAGTAATAACATTTTCAAACTACTGAAGACATGATGGAGTAATAACATGTTCAACTACTGAAGACATGTTGGAGTACATAACATGTTCAAACTACTGAAGACATGTTGGAGTAATAACATGTTCAACTACTGAAGTACATGATTGGAGTAATAACATGTTCAACTACTGAAGACATGATGGAGTAATAACATGTTCAACTACTGAAGACATGTTGGAGTAATAACATGTTCCAACTACTGAAGAATGTTGGAGTAATAACATGTTCAACTACCTGAAGACATGTTGGAGTAATAACATGTTCAACTACTGAAGACATGTTGGAGTAATAACGTGTT